TCCGCTAGCGCAGACGACCCCAAAGGGTGTGCTTCCCCTCCCGAATGCACCCTGTCCATCGGAGGGCCCGTCGAGACAGCGGCGGCCCCCCCCGTCGAGACAGCGGCGGCCCTCCTCCTCCTCCTCCTCCTCCTCCTCCTCCTCCTCCTCCTCCTCCTCCTCCTCCTCCTCCTCCTCCTCCTCCTCCTCATCCTCCTCCTCCTCCTGGTCCCCCCTCCTCCTCCTCCCCCCTCCTCCTCCTCCTTCCTCCTCCCCTCCCCCTCCTCCTCCTCCTCCTCCTCCTCCTCCTCCTCCTTGCCGGGTCGGGCAGGGCTGGGACGGGCAGGGTCGGGCTGGGCCGGGCCGGGCCTCCCTCTTCCCTCCCTCCCTCCCTCCCTCCCTCCCCCCCTCCCTCTCGATCCTTGCCGGGTCGGGCAGGGCTGGGACGGGCAGGGTCGGGCTGGGCCGGGCCGGGCCTCCCTCTTCCCTCCCTCCCACCCTCCCTCCCTCCCCCCCTCCCTCTCGATCCTTGCCGGATCGGGCAGGGCTGGGACGGGACGGGCCCGGGCCGGGTCGGACAGGGCCGGACTCTCTCTCTCTCTGCTTCCTCGTCCCCCGCCCAGTTGGAACATCCAGCTGTCCCCGCGATCTGCTTCCACACCTGCCCCCCAGAATGCCTCCGGCGTCCTCTTGCACTGAGGACTTCTGTCGGGCGGGATTGCCAAGACGGCCGCAGGGGAACGTTTGGGCATTCCTTCCCCCGCCCCCCCCGTCTCCACAGCCACCAGGCCCAAGGGAAGCGCTGCAATTCGAACTTCTTCACCGCTCCAGAGCGCACCTGCACCAGCGCCATGCAGCCAGTGGGGGAGCCAGCGCCCGTCCCTCACCTGCGAGTTCTCAACTACTTGATGCACCACCGAAGCGCCCTGCGCCTGACCCTGCGTGCGGCCGCAACTGCGGACGAGAAGCAGAACCCAACGGGGCCATGTTCCAAGACGTTGTTCAACCACGCGGTTAAGGAGCAATGGAAGCGCATGACCCCGGACCAGCAGCAGCAGTGGATCGCTGCCGAGGCCTCGGGGGACCGCCTCCGGGTCAAGTCGCAGTCCACACCGCCCTTGGGGCAGCTGTGAAGGGAGGCCCCACGAAGGCGCCGGAGCAGCCTGGCCCTGCAGCGGGCGCGAAGCCGACGGAGGGCATTGTATCCACTATGGACCACCACTGCGACGGTTGCGGGGCCGCGGGCGTTGCCCTTGCCCCCGGCCAGGGCGACCACACCGAGAAGTTCTACTGCGGCGAGTGCTGGCAGCAGTGGCACCAGTGGCACTTGTGCGCCCAGGCGGCAGGCCCCCCAGTGGCGGCCGCTTCAGCTGGCGAGGACACGGGCGAGGCGCCGTGGAAGAAGCACCGCGCCCAGAACGCACCGACCTTCCCCGACACCGAGGCCGCGCTCTCCACGCCAAAGCAGCAGCAGCAGCTGCAGCTGCAGCAGCAGCAGCTGCGGCAGCAGTGCCCGCAGCAGCAGCATCCCCCGCAGCAACCGCAGGTTCCCCAGCTGTGCTGCTCAGGGTGCGTGTCGGGAGTGGGCCCGCTTGTGAGCGGAGAGGGGGAGCACGCGACGAAGGCCTACTGCCACCAGTGCTGGGAGGAGTGGCGTGCCCAGCAGACCGTGGCCGGTGCTGCGGGCCCCGCCCCAGGCGGCCCGGCTCCGGCCTGGACCCAGGGCCCAGCGGACCTTCACCAGGCCCCGGTGCCCGGGGCCGCCCCCGGGCTCTTCTCCGAGTTCTACCGGAGCGCCCTCCCGCCAGCTGGGGCGGCGGACGTCGGCCAGCAGGACAACAAGAGGTACGACCGCTGGCTGGTGCCCCTCCCAGGGGGCCAGCTCCCGACGGACCGGGACATCCTGTTCTGGGCCTACACGGGTGCCCTGGGAGCCCCTCCGTTCATGGGCCCGGACTCCGAGTGGTCCCACCTTCCGAAGGACGCGCTGAAGACGGGGAAGACGCCGACCGGCCTCCTGCTCCAGCTCGGCAAGAAGGCGGCGAAGTTGGGGAGCATCCACTTCTACATGACCAAAACGGGGAAGCTTCACCTCTCCGGCAGCGATACTGCAAAGGAGAGAATGATCACTCTCCTAGCAGGGTGGACGGTGCCTTGGAACAACGGGGTTTCACCGCCAGCCGCGGCCCCCGGGACCCTCCCGCCGAGGCCGCCCGCATCATGGACGGCACCGTGAGGCGCGGCGCCAGTGCCCCCCACTCTCTGTCTGTCGTCTCTCTCTCCCTCTCCCCCCCCGCCCCTCCTGTCTCGATGTGCTGCGATACCACGGGGTGAGATCGAGGATTTTGTATAAGGTTCGTGCTGGAGGCGCGGATCCCCTCACCACCCCCGCCTTCCTCTCTCCACCCCCGCCTCTCCCCCCCCTGCCCCGTGCGGACGCGAGGTCCAGCAGAGCAGTCCAGTGTTATTATGGCTTGAGCCGCAGGCGTGAAAAACCCCCTCTCCCACTCCCCCTCCCCCTCCCTCCCTCCCTCCCTCTTGGTCCGCTTGGATTGAGCTGGGCCGGGTCGGGACGGGCCGGGCCGAGGCCCTGTGATCCCCGTCGCCCTCGCCGGATGCGGGCTGGAATCCGCAGAGCGCCCGGAGCTCGTCGTCGTCGTCGTCGTCGTCGTCGTCGTCGTCGTCGTCGTCCCCCCCCCTCGTCCCAGGCCGCCCTGAGCGCGGCCAGAGGCGGCAGGTTTGGGGGGATGCCCGCCCGTCGGGTTCGAACCCGCTTGGAGGGCTGATCCGGCGATCAAGGCATGGCCGGTACGGGCTGGGCTGGGGCCCCCGTGATCCCCGCCGCCTTCGCTGGGCCGGTGCCTGTCGCCGCTGTTGTCCGCCGCCGCTGCCGTCGCCGCCGCTGCCGTCGTTCGTCGTCGTCGTCGTCGTCGTCGTCGTCGTCGTCGTCGTCGCCGTCGTCGTCTTCGTCGTCGTCGACGTCCTCCCCCCCCTGTCGCTTTGCCTTCCTCCCTCTCTCCCTCCCTCCCTCTCCCCTGCTTCTCTCCCTACCTCTCTCCTCCCCCCCTCCCTCCCTCCCTCCCCTTCCCTCCCTCCCGTCCTTCCTCCTGGTCCACGCGGGACCAGGCTGGATTGGACCGGGCCGGGCCGGGCCGGGGCCCACTGCGATCGGCGTCGCTGTCACTGTTGACAGCGGTCTTGGTGCCCTCTCCCCTCTTCCTCCCCCTCCTCGGCCCTCCCTCGCCGTATGGACCCCTCCTCCTGGGTGCGCGCGCGCGAAGATAGCAGCGCCTCTGCCTCGCGGCGCGCTCCTGGGGGTGGCTCGGCCGTGCTTGCACTGTTTGGGCATGCTTTTGCTGGGCGTGGCCGACGTCCTCATCGCCCCGGCCCCCTTCCTTCCCTCAGCCAGCCGGGCCCAGGTCGCGCCCGCCGCGCCTCTCAGCCCAGAGGCAGGCCTCCTCCATGATGCGATGGACGTGCTCCTCGACGCCCTCCTGGATGCATTCCCGCATGCCCGTAGGTTTGGACTGAGTGGGGACCCAGTTGCAGACCCGCTCCTCCAGTTCCGCTGGAAGCAGCTGCGCGACGAAGCCAGCAGGCTCCTCGAGCAAGCCACCAGTCGGGACGCCTTGCAATCCTCGTCAGCCCATGGCGCCCTTCTCAGTGCGTTGCGGTGGGCTGCGCGGCACCTGCCAGGCCCTGGCAGGCAGATCGCGCTCTCCGGGAACTCCGGCATGGAGCCACGGTACGGCGTGAAGATAGCGGTCGGCTCCCCGAGTACTACTGGGTGCCTCTCCATTGACGGGTCGCGGATACTGTGGGGAGTATTCACGGACGCGCGGGTTGGCATTCTGCAGGCCATGAAGCAGCTGGACCTGGCCCTTGTTGGGCTCCCTGGTGCCCGACTTCCCGCCCGGACATCCGTCCCGGGACGCTCAGACTTGGGTCTTGCCTCGCGCGGGGGCCCCTCTTACGCGAGCACCGCGGTGGTGAGGGATCCTAATATCCTCCACCAAGTTGCAGAATTGGCCCTTGTCGGCTCGGACCGGCGCCTCTGGCTCCGCCTCGAAGATGCTCATGGTGGCCCTTGGTTTGTGTGCACGCTATATCTTCCCCCAGTTCCAAATTCTGGAAGGGATTCGGCAT